GTTATATATACATAAAATGAAAGGAAGGAAGGAAGGATAAATTAAATTTCAATTGCTTTGAGATGTCTTCCTTTTTCCTCCAAATAAACTAAAAGCTCATAGATTTCAGTAAGACTTTTAAGTATGAGGCCAATGTAATTAGATTTAAGTGAAAAAAAACTTGAAGTAGAAGAAGAGAGGAGGATTAGATATGCCTAACCCCCTACACAAGTGTCGTTTAGGTACTGTGATTTCGTCTCTTTACCAGTTGGATTATTCAGCATAAATCACCTTATTTTTTGCATAAACTCAACAAGAAGTAGGCGTCCAACTTTTTTATATTATATATGTTCAGCTGCTTATCATTTCGATTAAATTAAGTGTTTCAGCCAACCTCGCTGTTCAACATATCAATATTAGCAAAAGTAAATAAATGAGAATCATTAGAGAGAGAGAGAATCATTGAAACTCCAGAAAGTATTAGACCTTTGTTTTATCCTAGCACGGAACACAACATCACCAATGACACACCCTGCTTCGAACACAGGATGTTCCCGCCTACAACGTGACCTGATGGGACCAATAGTCTATGAATTCTAGCTTCTGCCAATTGGCAACATATATATAGCACAACCGCTAGTCAACATCATAGACGAGTAACTGTTCAATTATCTGACTCGGTGGACCTCGCTGGGTACCACTTCTTACTGGAACTCTAAACAACTTCCTATATTGAGTCAGCTGCTAGCGAGCATCAGACAAATTATCAATTGTTTGTTTGGCAACAGGTTTGATCACAAGCTGACATGAGTTACAGATCCAGTGAAAACTCAGCAGGGAGTAGTGGATAACTGTCACAGAAGGTCATGGTGGTGGTGGGGGGGGGGTTCAACTTCCAGTGGTTACATACCACTGAAGAGTCCTAAGGTAGGACAAAACAGCTGTCCAATACTCCTTTCTATTCAGTGGTTCCCAAACTGATTTCAGCTTGAGATCAAATCTATAACCAATTAAATTTCTGCAAAACAACATTTGATAGGTTAAATGTAGACAACAGACTTTGGTAAATGACAAACAAAATAAAAGGACACATTAAACACTAAAGAATACTAGTGTGTTTATTAACAAGAATCAAACGAAGTTGATAAGGCCAACTTAATCTTACTTTACTAAGCTATACACACTTTGATATGGATTGAAACAACATAGGATCATATCAGCATAAAAGGTTCAAGTCCTGTTTATATAAAGATTATTGAACGCCAATTACTCTGATGAACAGACTAAACGTGTAATGTGCATCATTCATAGTTTATTAAAACTACTAAGAAGAGTTTGTTGTTACTAATAGTAATACTAATGCTATTATTGAGATCGGCAACTTGACTTCAGCTATAGGCAGCATGGATGTTAATGCAAAAGTCAGTCAGGACCGGAAAGGCAAGACAGAAATTCATCAATATGGAATCAATGTGGAAACCTGATGTAATCAGCATAAAGAATAGGAATCTGATTTTCAAAACTATTGTCAAGTCATTCAGCACTTCTGTGTGGTTTAGAGACTTGATGTACAAGTTACAAAAGGCATTTCATCAAACAAGCTATTCACTGAAGACTCTCATCAACACTTGCCTCCTTCCTTAGCTCCATACTGAAGATCACATGACTGGCCAGAAAAGACTAGTAACAGAAACTGTGGAATGAAGCAACCAACCAGCCTACTGCTTAACAAATATGCTGAAAAAGGAGGAGGTGAATTGAACATATACTGAGAAGACTGTCAAGTAACATCACGTGCCCGGCCATCGCTCAAGTGAAGCCTGAAGTGGAAACATCGAGTTAGGTGTAGTTCAAGAATAACATGAAAATCACGTGAGAAAGATATGATAGCTTATTGCCAGTCAGTGAGCCAGATAAAAAGGATTTCGGAAAACAGGGGGAAATGGATATATGCTGTTGAAGCCCTATGTTCCACTCGGAGCCCAAGGGGATAAATAATAATTACTTGGATTTGTAAAACTAATATAACAGTATATCTGAAGATTGTATCACTACTTTAGTTACGGAAAATAGTGCCTCAAATTTCATCCAGCAAGTAAATATCACAGTAATGACTATATCACCAAACTACGAAAAGCAGACATTAAGTTGTACTGTACCATAGGGAAGTTCTCTCTTACTAATACATAATTAGCTTATAAGTTATGTAATAAAAAAGTAAATGTAGGTGTGCCAAGTAAAGTCAGGATGTTTTGTGAATCCAGTTGGTGAATCTTCTTTAACCCATCATTTTCGTCCACTGATTCGATAATGCTTGCTTATATTTTTGTATAGCCAGCAAGACTCCCTAGAATAACATTCATCCAGACTAAAATGCCCTAACTGCAATTTTTTGAGTTATGCTTTGTATCTACATCTAAATAATATCGCATGGTTATTTTAGGGTAGACCGCAAAGTTTATTCTTCATCAGGAACTAGAATTCACCTTAAAGGTACCTGACATGTGATAACGGAACAAAAACTGACTCACAGCTATAAGCTGCCTTTATCTGCTTCTCCTAATGACCAAAATACCAGGCATATTTTGTTGGCAAAATAATTTAAAGTGAGTCGTCTGCCAGATACAGCTGGCTGTAGAATAAAAGAGGTTTATTTCAAGTGATTTTGAGTGCAATGTAAGCAAAAAGCAGTCTGTTTTACAACAGCATTTCCTTACAAACAGACAAACTTAGGTCATCTCGTAAGTTATGCCATAAAATTAACTTCAATTTGCTTGATATTTATCATCTTAAGTGTGCAAAGACAATCAATAGAAAGAAAGAAAGAAAGAAAGCCTACACATTTTAATGACGAAATAGCTGGTACATATCTGAATAAATCATGTGAATACCTGAAGTAAGGTAAAAAAAACACTGTTTAATAAAGATTTTATATTGCTATATCTCTTATTTTGTCAAAAACTGCAAAAAATTAAGATAACGCATAAAAAGTTACTTCAAATTTAAAATGAAAAGTAGATAACCTGAAAATAGTATTTCGAGGAGTTTGGAAGTGCTATTCCCTTATGATGTAACTAAAGGCATCTTTTTACACAACATATGAAGTACGCCTACCAACCAAATGTAGTCAAAATCTTTTGCGCATGGGATACGAATTTATTCACACTAACCATTTTTCATATATTCTTCGTAGCTTTTGACCTTTACTGCATAGATTTACCCCCTTTTAATTAAATTCACCAACCGACTTATTGCAAGCTAAAAACAAGACGCGAAGTCTTTTAGTTTTAGTAACAATTTGGAAATCTCTGGAATGAGATTCAACCAAACCCTAAAGGTTAAAAGTTCCACATGGCACAGTTTAACAAAATGGCCAGTGTGTAGGCGTTTGTGCATCGGTGATTCAATACGATAATGCCCACTAGCCAATCAAGAGGTCCTAGTTTAGTTTCCGGATGACAATCGCCTCAAAGTCTCCCAGTTAATTAGCTGGTAGTAGGCTTGAAAAGGTAGAAGGATAGGTAAGAAGTTAGCGATTCCGCCATGGGAAAAACAAACAACACCCCTGCTACTGAAACTTCACAGCTTAAAGTCCTATGTTCAAGTTGGAACTCAAGGAATGAAAAAATTTGAACTCGTTTTTTTATTTTCATACTAATTTCAACATTGTAAACACCTTTACTAATAATTACTGTATTTTCTTCTTCGGATCTTCTTCATTATATTTAATCTGGTGCCAAAATCTAAACTGTAGCAGCTCAAATTATGTATTTTGCATTTCTGAATGTAATATACGTATCATTTACTCACTTCCGCTTTGGGTGATGTTAGGAATGCCTGCAATGCAAAGTGATGGACACGATTTCACCCCTAAAATCAAGCCTAAAGTCTTGTGTAAATTTCATTTAGAAATGTCAGAAGACCTGAGTTCTATCTACACAAATGTTACAAGCTTTCTCCAATAAATTTTAAATATTCGAAATAAGAACTGATATTAATCAGTCTGAATCAATTTTTGAGTTCTTGCTTATGAATTCTAGCTTGAGTTTAAGAAGAAAACCAACAAAATTATTATATGATGGAATTTTAAACAATAATCAAAGAGATTAAAAAGGCTGAACACTGTAAGGAGGGAGACATTATATTTACAAAACCTAACACAGTACTGAGGAAATCAGAAATGTGATCATTTTGATCATTTTCGATCTCAAACTCCGAATGCGTATTTGAAAATTTAATACGTTTTTTGTATGGAGCGCATAAACTTTCAGAAAAGCAAACATAGGTATTTAAGTCATAATATAACGAGAAAACATTTATTAAATACTTCAGTATGCTAAAATCCCAATTAGACATCTAGAAGACATAAATAGGACTGTGGATAAAAGTTTTTCCGAAAGCTTTCCTGTTTGGCTACTACATATATATATATATATATATATATATATATATATATTGCCTAAAGAATAGTCATTACTGGCAATAGAGATGTTTTTTGAATGATATTGAGGCTATGAGATCTATAGGTTACAGATCAAAATCATATGCAAGTGGTTGTAAGGCGACATCATGCAATACATATACTCTACGAAGCTACCACATATCACATAAGCATATATAAAATAATTCTAACGAAAATCTGCAAATCACTGAAAGACCGTCTTCGTAACGTATATTACCATATTAACCACTCGTGATTAATTTTATAAGCAAGCAGTGAAATGAACTTACAAAAAAGCGTAAACCAAAAAATGAAATACGATCTGAAACGAGCTGTCACTATGAGTTGACATGTACAAGAGCATAGAGCTTATAAACTGCACCTAGATACTGCACTCTGGTTGAGTTTAAACGTAACTATATTTGAAGACTAATTGTATTTTAATTCTGCGTTAGCAGTATGAATTACATTTCATAGAGACATCTATTCACCTGAAGCAAGAACTTCACTGCTATAATGGAAAAGAATGATATCCAAAACAGTAGTTAAAATAAAATCGTGCGTTATGTAACTAACTTACTTGTTAATTCTTCATCCTTCTCCATTGAATCCATTTTAAATATACTTTGTTAGGTAAGAAATGTGATTATATATAATCCTTTTTAAATATTTTGATCACAGAAAGACTTAACAACGTGTAATTTATTCACATTTATCATTAAATAAATGTTCTAGCGGATGAAGATTTCATGCAATAATAGTCCGAAAAATATGCTCATCATGTAGTTATCAGTTAATATTTAAATCAAATACTAGTTCCTTAGTGTTTTGCGCTGATTTTCTAACATTCCAATTGATGTTTAGAAATACAGAAATTTTCGTTTGCATAACACATGACTACCTTTGAGTAACGCGTTACTAAGTAAATAAATCTCTTTGCTTAGAAAAACAACTCAAGGTCATTCAATATATAATTATGCGCTACAAATTAATGAAATATAACTGCTAGAAATAAGTCGTTTCGGCTCTCATATGGTATTTTTCATATTTAACTGTACCTATATTATTCTTTTTACACAACAGATTCAAAAGTCAACTTTGTTTTTTAAGTGATGACGGAATATTGCTCGTAATATCCAGTATCCTTGCAACGACCTATTGTGAGCCAAACTAGCTTTGTGGTCGTCGTTGTTGTTTTGCGTAAATGTGTGAGTAGTAAAACGAGTTAACAGTGATTTCGAAGGACACAAAAAGCACTGTTAAAAATGGATTGTACGTTATACACACAAATGCATGACTGTATGCACTTCTCGACATATTCGCGTTATTTTGACTACAAATACAGCAAGGAAAACAATGACATATCACCTGTCTACATCATTTTCCCCACAATCCAGTGAGCTTACGTCTTCCTATTTTAGAAGCTGACAGACTCGACGATCACGCATAATATGAAGTATGCTAACTCAAGATCTAATACCCACAACTTCTATAGTATTCGTTCCGCAGAGAACAATGGCAAAGCAAAAGACACGATTTGGTCGTCCAAATTACGAGATATATTTCAGGACCAAATCGGAGTGCGAGAGGATTGCTTAACTGGCTGGGGATCGTACACCAATATGACGCGACGGAGTTCCAAATGGCGTGGATGCTTGGCTGGAAGTCTTCATCTGGACAACCTGACTTAAACAGTGAAGGTCACCATCCAATGTTCAGTGATGAATGCTGTGGTCAATAATTTTGGGGAATTATTTACCGCTACAGCTCACTCTCTCCCTAGTGGGGTTGTGAGGTGCCTAAGACAAGACTAGCTGGAAGTAAAGAAAACCCAATAGTTTTCCCACTGGTGAAGAGACTCCTTTGAGCTGCATGATGTATTGCCTACCGGTCGTCTACAGATGTTAATAAGGTGTCTGTACATCGCTTCGTTTGTCCGCTGGATCTCGCGCTTTGTTTGCTCCGTGTCCGGTGCTCGTCGCACATAGAAAACGAGAATGCTAAGTAACAAAAGTAACGTTTGAAAATGATATGCATTCACCATACAGTAAAATAATGCGAAAATAGAACACCTAAAAGGGTATATATCTAATGTTTTTGGTAGATGCAACGTAAACAGTTATAGAATAGTTTTTACTTGTGTTGCGAGTTGCAATATAAAAAATCGATGTGTCTGAAGGAGGAAAAATAAATACCACAAACGAATAGGAGCTGTGTGAATCGTATCACTTAGTTATGTGATACAATTATGAGGATGTTCTAAGAATCTCACGTTGCATCCAGAGCACTTTTTTGAGGGCTCGAGAGAAGATTCAGTGACTTCCTCCATGTTAGTGATTTCTTCGAGTACTACCGGATATTCGGTTACTTGTGTATTATTGGGAATGCTCAGCTCTAGGCTGATAGGATTGCCTTCTAAGTACGCCGGTTTCGGATGGTCAATACTAAGAGTGTTGTCAAGGAACTTACCCCTGAGTTCCTATTGTTACGAAGAAGCTTCGAACCGATAAATACAATGTGCATTCTTCGACTTTAACTCCAAAACATCAGTATTGTAAGAAGGAAGTTATATTGTTTGGAAATTAAAGTAGAGAACAGTACAAGTCTACAAACAAATGTTTTATACAAATGTATTATGTGCTTTTACTCGTTTTTTGACCGTTGTCAAACACGTCCCAAAACCGTTAATGCCCAGCGCTTGCTATGCCGGGCCTCTCGCTGTCCCTCGAAGCCTTTTAGAAACGCTTAGTACTGAAGGACGCAAAAACCAAAACACCGATTGGCGACTCCAGAATTCTTCATTCTAACACCAACATATGAGCAGCATAACAAACTAAGATTTCTGACGGTTTTTACTTTCTTTTTGAACAGCGACCGATGAGACAATCGTTGTCAATAATATATATTACTTCCTGTTTACGCAGGAACATACCAATTGTACAGGCATGGATAAGTTATCATATAAATTACACATAATTTAGTGTGATGAATTTACAGTGTGTTTGTTCTTTCTGACATTAGAGTCAGTCGGAACAGTCTGCTATAAAGCCTGTTTGTGTAGCACATAAAGAGATATAGAAATATTGTCTTCGCATTAACAAAAACCCAGACATCAGATCGATGTAAAACAGGTATCTGGGAAAAATAAAGCTTGAAGTCAATTCTCCTATATAACTTTGTTGTGAACAGCACCCTTGGCTTAAAGTTTATTGATGTATTATGTTGAGATCAGTGATATATTTATTCCACTTTTTCAGCGGTCTTATCGTAGTTTTATAACAGGAAAGAAATTTGATCGTGGATGCGAAAGCTAGATAAGGTCATGTTAAGTTGTTTTACAGCGTCAAATGGTGCCGAGGTCGATTCCAGAATTCTCCATTTGCTTCATTTGTGTCTGCATGGCGGACTGTATTCGTGAGTTCAGTAAAATGTTGAAAACTGTTTGAAAACCAGTTGCTTCTTCATTTCAGATCATGAACACTCATTTACAGCATGTTAGCCAGCGTCTTCAAATGGTAGAATTGGATCGTTCATGGAATTTGAGTGGTTATGAGAAAAATGGTTTGGAATTAATCCTCATTTCAGTTTCGGCGCAGGGTTGTTCGACCTCGACCAGAAGATGATCAGGAGCAGCAGAATAACAGAAAGAGGAAGTATGTGAAAATGAAAAGGACATTAGTATTTTATGCACTTATAAATGTATATGTCAATTGTATATTATACATCAGTAAAAATTTACGTTTTAGTTGTGTTTTCACGTATTTATGCGAAGTCTTAGAGTTTATTTAGTGTCATAATGTGTATTAATGAGTCTGAGCGTTTTAGCGTTCTAACGTCTGGTGCGTTTTAGAAATAAGTGATGGGTTCTGGTAGGGATAATCATTGGGACAAAACAGTTTATATAGCAGGCGTTTGAAGGTTACACTAGAGTGACACATCCTATTTCTAAGGGCAAACTAATCCTGTATGTTCCGTAGTAAGTCTTTATGCATCCATGCTGCTAGTTTATTTATATTTTTAGATTGCAAAGGGTGTTGAAGTGCGTCTTTTAGGTGCTGTAGTAGATTAGTGATTGATTCGTTCTATGAGTAAATAGTTTATTAATATAATCTGTAGAGTGAAACAGTCTGTACAGAGAGCGTTTGAAGCTTGTAACCGAAGAGCAAGTTCTGATAACTTTAGGCAGGCTATTCCATATTTTAGAATACATGACTGTTGTCAATGGAGTTGAAGATTGAACGATCAATTCTTGGTTGTTTGCTCAAAACCAACTTCCCCAATTTTCGCGGAGGCATCAATACGACAGTCATCGTCTCATCGGTCGCTGTTCAGAAAGAAGTTATCAGTAAACCATCAGAAAACTTAGTAGAAATATTTATTATATGTTGGTGTTACAATAAAGAATTCCAAAGCGGCCAATCGGTGTTTTGGTCTATGCGCCCCTTATTACTAAGCGTTTCTGAGAAACTTCAAGGAACAGCGTGAGCCCGAGCGTAGCAAGAGCTGGGCATTAACGGTTTACGAAAAGTGGCTGACAGTTTCTGATGGTAGAAACAGATTCTGGCGGATTCAGACAGTTGGTGAAAGTTTGGATGGTCACCGTTCATCTTTCCTGGTGCCGGTCAAGTCCTCTTTGAACAAGCAATATCTGGAACGTTTTTGGAATTGGGTCAAGTTCAACAATGCCTGGGTCAAAGAAGGGACAGAGCGTCTTAAATGCAAACAGGAAAGTAAGTCATGGTGACTTATCTGTTAATTGTAACGATGTGTCTGATGTTAAGCATGACATGGTTGATGTTACTGTTTCGCCGTTCAGGGATAATAGGAACATCAAACTCCCTAAATTTGAACCACGATGTTTTGATGGAAACCCGGCTGATTATTTACAATTTGTAAAGGAGTTTGAGATCATGTTGAGTAGTTTTCTATTAAGTGATGAATTGAAGTTTATGTATTTGATGAGATATTGCACTGGAGATGCTGCAAGAGCTATACAGTGCTGTAAGTTTATGAAGCCAAAAGAGGGCTACGATGAGGCTATCAGCATATTACGTCAAAGGTTTGGAAGACCTTCAATGATTGTAAGGAACGTATACGAAGCTGTCAAAGGTAACGGCAGTCAACTTCAAGATGACTCCCAGGCACTCACTGAGTTTTTAGATAATCTTATGACTTATAAGAATACCTTGATTTCGATGAATTGCATGAGTGACCTCAACTCGAGTTTTATACTAGAAGCAATAGCAAGACGCCTACCTACTCGACTGCAAAGGAAGTGGGTGAAGATAAGCTCCCGTATGGAGGATGAGGGTATCGAGCCAAAATTTGATGATATCCTGAAACTAGTAAAAGATAGCGTCAATCTATCTATGAGCAAGTTCGCCAGTCTATTGCATCTCACCCGTAGAATAGAGCAGTCTGAGAGCAAAATGCAATCATTGATGACGAGTAGGCCTCAGAGAGGTGGATATCGAGAAGGCTCCATGATGTATAGTAATGCATATAGACCTAGTGAGTGTAACAGGATTCGTAGTACATCCTCAACAGATAAGTTACAAGATGCAAGACAAACACGGTTGTGTTTTACACGTTTGCAAGAGGTGCATACAGAAGTGAACTGTGAACCAGTGAGCAAGTTCAGTGATAAGCTAAATGTAAACTCCAGGCCTGACTCCGAATTGTGGGACGATAACGGTGCGGTGAAGAAGTCTGTAGTTGCAACTGATAAGCCATTGTTGAATAGAGTGTCACAGCATAGAGTCACTGCTTCAGAGTGCAGTTCTGACCCTACAAGTTTGCAAGGTATTACTAGTCAGAGTGAAGTTATAAAACCTTTTAGGATTTGTGAGGAGAAACCAAAATTGTCTACTTCTGTTATTAAAGAGTTTGAAATTGATGAAGTCGACCAGATAGATGATGGTAAATTGA